ATATATGTAAAGTACTCTAAAGTCACTCGCTAGTACGTAACAATATTTCCATCACGCGCATATCTTTTAGTCTGCAACTATCAAACTCTAGGTAATATTTAGAGAAAGCCTAGTCAAATTCATCAACTCTTACCCTTGCTTCTGTGGCTTTGTTTTTCGTCCGGGACGAGAAAGAATTAGACATGGTTCACCCTATTCTGTTTGCCTCTGACCCTGTTTATTCTTCGTGCTACGCACCGTGATAGTTACAGTGATGAAATAATACTCCTTTTGATTGCTGGTATTGTGTCTGTTCGTATGTCAGTATGTGCATGTAACACTCTGTGCTTGTGTTTGTGCACAGTATAATGTACCTGTTCTTAGGTCTCTTGATGTACCTAATATATTCGTGATGAAATGGTGAGTGTGCTCTCCGTTACGCATATACGAGGATCGCCTGTTGCAGGGAACTCAGACAAGATCCTCTGGATTCTGGAAGCTATGATATCATCAATTCATCATATCTGGTGATGAAGGCGTTAACACAATTATTATTATAATAGGAATTAGGACACTGTTCGGATACGAGTACTGACAGTCTCGACAAACGTCAGACAGTACTGAAGAGACTCTGGGACCTCGGGCCCCGGGCGACTCGGGCAGTTCGCTACAGAGCCCGAGTCTGGACCTTTCGTAGGCTGAGATCCAATTGAAAGCAACCTATTTTTAGAGGAGCTAAATTTAGGATGATATTGGAATCATTGCTAGAATTTGTATGGTGATATTAGGATCGAAACCCAGTATGTGCTGTGAGATTTGACATTTCATACAGTGTTTTTGGTTTAGAGAGATGTTATTGGTTCAATATATTAAATACCTTCAATATGACACAAAACAATATAAAATCCAATTTAATTGACTAACAATTGTAAAAGAAAAGTAAATACTAATTGTATTGGCTTCAAATCTATAGATCTTTTTAGATCTAAAAATAGATTGCGTTTTCGAGTCAGCCATTGGCGCGAATATTATAAAAGCCTAATTTTGGTCAACAAAAGCTGAAAAGGCAACCACTTACAACAATCTTTCTTTCTCTTAGGTTCCGATTGTCAATTGTCAATTTGTCACCGACATCACATCAACAGATCAATTTGTGAAACTGCGAGATGTCCATAGGAGCTTGGCATGCTGATATCCCCCTCATTCGTGGTGCTTAGAGTTTTGGCCTGTGACGCACTAAACTCAGCGCAGTGAATTCAGAATTCCATGGAGAGAGACCGAGGAGGGTGTTAAGATTGGAGTATAGTTTTAGTATATAACTGCTGAACGGTCGAGGTCGTGCATATGTCCAACCCAACTATAAATGTGCGAAAGTATGTCCGATTTGAAGCATATGTTACGCTGAGCGGTGGCGTGTAAAGCAAAACATAGATTGCGCTGCTTTAGTGTTTGGGTTTCTCTATTGTTTATTAAGATTGTTTTAATAATCGAGTTTAAGTCACGATGGTTGCGCATCCAGAGCGAACACTCAACGCATATTTTCAGCTCACACAAGGATATACTCGACTTTTACTTGTACAAAGACACACATATATATATATATATATATATATATGTGTGTGTGTGTGTGTGTGTGTGTGTGTGTGTGTGTGTGTTATATGTGTGTGTGTGTGTGTGTGTGTGTGTGTGTGTGT